AGACGGAGATGGGGAGAGGCGGGCGGGGGGGGGGTACCCTCCCCATGACCCCCGACCCTGACCCCGCCCACCCGCCCCGCAGGTCCTGGCCCTGTACAACCAGCACAACCCGGGCGCGTCGGCGGCGCCGTGCTGCGTGCCGCAGGCGCTGGAGCCGCTGCCCATCGTGTACTACGTGGGCCGCAAGCCCAAGGTGGAGCAGCTGTCCAACATGATCGTGCGCTCCTGCAAGTGCAGCTGAGGCCCCGCCCCTCCCAACAGGTCCCGCCCACCCCGGCAGGCCCGGCCCCGCCCCCCACCCGCCTCATCAGGGTTGTATTTAAGGACACCGCGCCCAAGCCCCCCCTGGGGTCCATTAAAGGTGGAGAGAGGACTGGGTCTCTGTGTCGTTGGGCGCCTAACTAGGGTTTCCCTTCCGACGTTCCCCGACCTCCCCCCACCCCCGGCCCCCCGCATCTCCTTACATTTACACTTACATCTGCCTCCTCCTGTCTCTGTCCATCATTCGTTTGCCCCTCCTCACACAAACACTTCTTAGCACTTGTTATGTTTCTTACTCCTGGTGAACAAGGGTTAGATTTATTTATTGAGCACCTTGGACCCTTATGTTAATTAACTCATTTAACCACCATAACAGAGCTCTGAGATAGACTCTGATAACACCCACTTGAAATGTAAGGAAATGGAAGCCCAGAGAGGTTAAGGGAATAGTTCCTGCCTACCAGGAACCTACGTTCTGGGGAGGAGACAGACACAGTAAAGTTGTGCGAAAACAGGAAAGCAGGATGGGTGAGAGATGGCTTTGGGGAGGAGGGAGGGCTTCTTGGAGGAGGTGGCATTTGGGACTTGAAGGAAGCCAAGAAGGCAGCCTGGGGGAGGGTGTTCTTGGTAGGAAGACAAAAGCAAAGGCCTGGAAGTAAAGATGAACTTGGGGTGAGCTACACAGGCAGAAAAGAGGCCAGTGCGTTTGGAAGGGAGGGGCAAGGGGAAGGGTGTTAAGATCTGAGTCAGAAAGTAACACTCACAGGCCAGAGAATAATAACAACAATTCTCCACTCCGGGTATGGAGCTACTAGTTCACGGCATTCTCCCAACAGCCCAAGAGAGCATGGGTTGGCAAACTATTGCCTGCAGGCAAATTCTCACTCGCTGCCTGTTTCTGTAAATAAAGTTTTTTTTTTTTTTCCTTTGCGGTAAGCGGGCCTCTCACCATTGTGGCCTCTCCCGTTGTGGAGCACAGGCTCCGGACACGCAGGCCCAGCGGCCATGGCTAATGGGCCCAGCCGCTCCGCGGCATGCGGGATCCTCCCGGACCCGGGCACGAACCCGTGTCCCCTGCATCAGCAGGCGGACTCTCAACCACCACGCCACCAGGGAAGCCCTGTAAATAAAGTTTTATTGGAGCACAGCCATGCTTATTTGGTACTGTACTGTCTGTGGCTGTTTTAGTGCTACTAGGGCAGAGTTGAGTAGAAACTGTGCAAAGTCAAAAATATTTACTATCTGACCCTTGACAGAAAATGTCTGCCAACTCCTGCTTTGGAGATCATTTGCTCCCCACTCCACAGATGGGAATACTAAGGCACAGAGAGGTTAACTTTTTTGTTATGGTCACATAGTTAGCAAATGGCACAGCTGGGATTCAAACCCAGGCAGCTAGAGTTGAGGGCTTATGCATACAACTTCTGCACTGGTCCTGCCTTCCAGACCACATGAGGCCTGTGGGGACCTGTGAGAACTTGTACTCTGAGAGAGGAAGGCACCATGACAGGTTTTTGAACAGAAGAGGGATGTGATTTGACTTAAGTGCTCAGAGGGTCCCTCTGGTTGATGGTTGAGAGCAGACTGAACGGGTGTGAGGGTGACCGCAGGGAGACCAGTTGTCCAGGAGAGAAATGACAGCACCCTGAGCTGGGGTGGGTTTCTCTCTGCTGTGTTTCTTCCCATCTGCTGGGGTCTTGCTGATGAACTCTCTCCCGCTTCCTCTTTCTCTGGCTTCTCAGTTTCCCCTCTTCCTCCCTGGTTTCAGTTCCCCCTCTCTCTCCCCTGCCCTTCTCAGGTCTGGGGCCTTGACCTCCTTTGCTCAGTGACTGCCCTGGGGGAGGATGGTGTGAGTGCTGAGCTTCCTTTGTAGGTGGGTTAGCGGCACTAGGTCTGGATGAGTGGGCCCCGGGGCCTGCCCAGCCCAGCCCAGCGGTAGAAATGTGGTCACTCCTCCTGGCCCAGGTCTGGGAGCCATAGAGGGCTGGGGGTGAGGTGGGGGCCGGAGGAATTCACTATCCAAGGATGTGCTGCCATTGTCACCAGCCGCCCCATCACGTGCACACAGCCCAGCCTTGGAGCTTGGCTGGGACACAACATAAGCAGAGACTTCCATAGGGACGCAGCAAGATGCAATCACACAAACACATCCTGTAGGATCCTAGGCACAACCACCACACTGCGGACACAGATGCAGAGGCAGTGCCATGCACAGACACACTCCTCACAGCATCAGAGCCCCGTCAGGAAATGAAACAGAGACTCCGGCCCCGACCCACCGACAGTTATACAAACATCCTCCATGGGGTCACGGTCACAAACAGGCACCGTGTGCACGCACAGGGCCTGACACGTCACAGTCCCACCCAGACACATACCACAGACGGAGATCTGACACGTCAGGATCTCGCAGACCGCCAGGCGGTCGTGCCCAGTCGGCCTGACATCTGCCGGCCCCACACGCTCAGGCCTGGGGCGTCCCACACGGCCCTACGGACGGTAGCCGACCCGTCATACTTAGACGCACTGTCACACCCCGGGTCCCAGACGGAGAGTCCCGCACACCCAGACACACCCCCGGGGCCGTGGCCCTCACACGCCCAGCTCGCGCCTCGGCCCAGGACAAGTCCCGGCCGCACACCTGCCCGCGCGCTCCCGCGGTCGCCGAGCCCTGGCCACGCCCTCGGGCCACACCCCGCCCACCCGCACGGGCGCCGGGGACGGGGAAAGCCGCGGGCTCAGCAGCTTCCCGGCTGCGGGGGCGGCTCCTGCCCCGCCCCTCCCGGCACCTGGCCTCGCGGGAAGGCCGGGCCCGGCCCCCAGCCAGCCGCAGGGGCAGGCCCCGGGGTTCGGGGCGCCCCGCTCCCCTCCCCTCCCCCGCCTCTGCAGGCAGGCCGGGCGGCGAGGGAAGTCGTTGGGGGGAGCCTGGGTTCCGGCTGGAGCCTCGGCTTCCCGTCCTGCCGCCAAGGGGCAGGAAGCAGGGCCGGAGGAGGCCAGCTCAGGCCTTCCTGCTCCCTCCCTCAGACAGGCCTGGGACCTGGGACGGGGTCAGCGTGAGAGGGAGAAAGGGAGGGGGCAGGTGGGGGGAGGGAGAGAAAGCCCCCTTCCCCCTAGATCTCTGGACATCCAGCGCGTTGGTGTCTTTCGTGTTTCTAATGTGAATTTGTGTGTGTGTGTGTGTGTGTGTGTGTCCCAGCAAGCTTTGTGGTGTGAATTTTGTGTGTCCAGCATAGGGGTCTCTAACACACGGCTGGGTGCCTGACGGCTGTGTTGGGTATGGGCCAAGGGGGATTTTCAACTGGTGTATCTCCAGCACGGGTTCAACTCTGTGTGTGTGTGTGAGAGACTGTGCTGCATTTGTTGTGCCTGCACCTGTGTTTTGTGTTTCTGCTGCACAAGCCAGTGTGCCGTGCCCAGACATTGTGTGAATCGGCTAGTCTGCGTGTATGAGTTGGTTGTATCCCTGGGGTGTGTTATGTATCTGGACTTTTTCTCAGCACACTTGCTCTTCTTTTCTGGGTGTAAATTTGCACATCATTAGCATAAGTTTGATTAGAAGTGTGGGTGTTTTCCGTGTATGTTTATGGGTCTGTGAGAAAAGTGTGTTTCCAGGAGGTATTGTGTGTGTGTACATTGTGTTTCCTACTCAGGATGTTTTCACTGCCTGTGTGTGACGGTTCCGTGTTTGTGTCTGTGGGTGAGTAGCTTCTGGGTTACGTTTTGTAATCAGTGTGTGCGTCGCTGGTATTCCGAGCATGTTTGTGTGTCTACGGGGTGTGTCTCCCACATGCTTGCTGTCCTCCCAGTGTGTCCATCTCCGGGACTGGTGTTCTCAGCCTCTAGGGGTGTCTGTGAGCAGGTGGTGTCTGCATTTTGTGTCCCCACATGTGGGCTGATGACTTCAGTGTGTGAGCAGTCGTGTGGGTCTCTATTTTGCTCTTTCACTCTCGAGTTTTCAGTGGGGTGAGTGTGTTCATGTTCACAAGCAGCTGCACGTGTGGGGCTGCATTTGTGCTGGTGTTTCCAGGGATGGGGGGCATCCTGCGTCCCTGGTGAAGCCGCTGGCATTCCGAGCGATGCGGCCTCCATGCTGAGTGTAGGCTGTGCCTGCGGCGCGTCCCCTTGCCGGCTGGTGCCACGTTGGCTCGGGGCTGGCCGTGGCGGGCAGGGCAGGGCAGGGGCTGTGGTGGGCACTGGACCCACGCCCGGACCTCAGTATAAATATCTTGGGCTGCCGGCGGCTGTTTACTTGGCCCCAGCCCGGGGGCGGCAGCAGCCGGGCAGGTCTTGGGGGTGGGGGTGACCAGGCCACAGCACAGTCACTTCCTTCTGGCCAGACAGGCCGCAGCCTCCCTGCCCCCTTTCTGGGTGGGGGCGAGGTGGTGACCCCTCATTCTGGGCTCCCAGGGGCCACCAGTGAAGCCCTGACCCCGACACCCCCGCTGGGCTTCCCAGGATCTGGGAGAGAGACCAGCAGAGATGGGACAAGGGCGGTGGGCCAGGAGACAGCGGAGAGAGGGGTAGGAAAAAATGAGGGTGAAGGCGAGGCGGCTGGGGGGCGGGTGCTCTGACAGAAAGGCACGGGGACGCGGAGACAGAGAGGGAGGGAATGACAGGGAGGGAGAGGAGAGGAGTCAGAGGCCCGGGCGTGACGAGGGGGAAGAGAAGGGGCTGAGAGAGGGGAGACGAGAAGCGATGGGGAGACAATGACAGTCAGAGAGCTGCAGAGACAGGCCGAAAGGGAAGACGGAGCTGGGGGAGAGGCAGAGGAAGGAGACGGCAGCAGCAGGGAGGAGGGACAGCGAGGCAGGCGGCTGGAGGGGATGAGGAGAGAGGGGCAGGACGCAGAGGTGTCAGACATGGGGGGTGGGGTGGCAGCCAGCAGAGCCTGGCCAGGACAGACAGGAGACACGGGGGTGGGGGCCGGATGCCCTCGGAGGGGCTCTCCCTTCCCTGACTCAGCCTCTCCGCCCACCCCAACCCCAGAACCAGGAGTGGAGGGGCAGGCGCCTCTCTGGGCACCTCCAGGTCTCAGCGGGTCTGAGGCTGTGATGGGGGGGTGCCTCTGGGCTCCACCTCGGTCTCTGAGACAGACGCTCCTTCTCTGCCATCTGACTAACCCTAATTCTGACTCAACTGCTGTCTCTCATCACTTAAAAAATGTATGTAACAAATCTAGGTATGGCACAGTGTATCACAAATTTAATGATCAAATGATAGACTGGTGAAAAATGTGCCCATCACCCAGGGCTGATGCCTGTATTATGAAAGGCCTCTCACAACTTGAGGGCATCAAAGCACCTGAGACAAACATCTCAATAGCTGGCTGGATCGCCTTGGGCCTCCTCTGGGAGACACCCTATCAGTACTGACAGTTTATACTGCATGGGACCTCTGTGATGGTTCAGTGACTCGGGTACTAAACACTAGATGATGCCGTCCGTCTGTGCATAGGAAGGTCAGTGCCTAGCGCGCCAGGAGGGGCCCCAAAGGTGTTAGCCGCTGTTATCCTCAACAGCTAACTCTCCTTCAGTCGTTACCCCTGAAGAAGTCTGTGCGTCTGTCTACTGTGTGGCCCTGAGAGTGGACAGGCAGGCCAGGAGGTGGTCTCCAGGACTTACGATTCTACACCCGAGTTTCCATCTCTGATGGCCACGTGGCCTTGAGTACGTGACATCTCCTTTCTGGGCCTCCTGTGACCCACATACGGAATGGAGCTGAGCCCCTCGTTCGCGGGGCTGTGTGGAGGATTCAGTGCAGCATCGGGCACCTTGCTGGGGCCTGGCACAGGACAGAACTGCTCAGTAACCGGAAGTTTCCTTATTTAATAGTCTGTCTGAACATCCCTTGGCCTCTGTCTAGCTCTCACTTTCTGTGTCTGGCTCTAATTCCAGTTGAGCCAGAGGGCAGAGGCGAGGCCTGGGGGTCAAAAGCTGTGGCCCCAGGAGTCCGTGGGGTCTCCCTGGCACTCTGGGCCCCATGCTGGAGAAGGCCGTTTTGAGGGTCCTTCAGGCCTGGCTCACAGGAGTGAGGGGTCCCCGGGCCCCACCTCTCTAACACATGGCCTGTGTCCTCCCCCACTAGCAGCTGGCCCCTTCCCTGCGTATGTCTACTGGGGGAGCGTGAGCTGGGTATGGGGGCATGGGAAGGCGGGATGCCTGGGTTCCCACAGGCCAGTGGCTGAGTCACCAGGCGGCCATCTGGCTCCCATTAGCCCAGGGCGGCAGGGGGCTCGGTGGGGCCGGCTTGGGGCAGGGATGCTGGGGCCAGCTGTGTGTGTGTGTGTGTGTGTGTGTGTGTGTGGCCGGCTTGGGGCGGGGATGCTGGGGCGAGCTGTGTGTGTGTGTGTGTGTGTGTGTGTGGCCGGCTTGGGGCGGGGATGCTGGGGCGAGCTGTGTGTGTGTGTGTGTGTGTGTGTGTGGCCGGCTTGGGGCGGGGATGCTGGGGCGAGCTGTGTGTGTGTGTGTGTGTGTGTGTGTGGCCGGCTTGGGGCGGGGATGCTGGGGCGAGCTGTGTGTGTGTGTGTGTGTGTGTGTGTGGCCGGCTTGGGGCGGGGATGCTGGGGCGAGCTGTGTGTGTGTGTGTGTGTGTGTGTGTGGCCGGCTTGGGGCGGGGATGCTGGGGCGAGCTGTGTGTGTGTGTGTGTGTGTGTGTGTGGCCGGCTTGGGGCGGGGATGCTGGGGCGAGCTGTGTGTGTGTGTGTGTGTGTGTGTGTGGCCGGCTTGGGGCGGGGATGCTGGGGCGAGCTGTGTGTGTGTGTGTGTGTGTGTGTGTGGCCGGCTTGGGGCGGGGATGCTGGGGCGAGCTGTGTGTGTGTGTGTGTGTGTGTGTGTGGCCGGCTTGGGGCGGGGATGCTGGGGCGAGCTGTGTGTGTGTGTGTGTGTGTGTGTGTGGCCGGCTTGGGGCGGGGATGCTGGGGCGAGCTGTGTGTGTGTGTGTGTGTGTGTGTGTGGCCGGCTTGGGGCGGGGATGCTGGGGCGAGCTGTGTGTGTGTGTGTGTGTGTGTGTGTGGCCGGCTTGGGGCAGGGATGCTGGGGCCAGCTGTGTGTGTGTGTGTGTGTGTGTGTGTGTGTGATGACTCAGGACCCATGATAACAGCCTGTGCATATTTTGGAAGTGTAAACAGGAGGGAGAGGGAGCTGGAGGAAGGGAACACTGTGGCTGGGCAGAGGGGGCTGGTGGGGCTGGGAGGGGAGAGTCCCTCCTCCCCCTCTATACCCGACCTGGCAGGCCCACGATCCCACGCTGCCCCTGCACACCTCTCCCAAACCTGGGTCCTGGGGGAGAGGTGAGAGCCGGTGGCCACCCCCAAGGTCTCTCCACTGCCCACAGCGAGGCCCGATTACTCAGCAGTCAGGCTCTGTGGCCCACAGCAGCCAGGATGGGGGATGCTCAGGGCCTTGGCGGGGGTGGGGTACTGAAACCCAGAGATAAAGGCTGAGAGACAGAGAGGGACAGAGCCAGCACAGAGGCTGCGAAAGATGGAGGGAGGCTGAAGGAGATGGAACGTAACAGAGGCAAGGAGGTGTGAGTGTGAGACTGAGCCTCAAGCACAGAGGGACAGGAGAGCAGAGGCGGGGCTGGGGAGGGAGAGGCGGAGCTCCGCCCTGGGTTCAAGCTGGCCAGCTCCAGCGACAAAGGGCCCCACTCGCCTAGGTCAAGGGGAGGATGTTCATCCTGGGCCCTGTTGTGGGGACAGAGGCCGAGGCACAGAGAGAGGGGGAGAAAGAGAAAGAAAGGAAAAAGAGGGAGGTGGAGAAAGAGCGAGAGACACAGAAAGCAGGAGACAGAAAGGTGGTGAGAAAAAGAGAGAGGAGAGAGGAGAGAGGCACCAGGGTTCAGGGGGAGAAGGAAATGGAGAGCAAGGGGAAGGGGGCCGTGGAGATGGGACCAGACCTAGCGAGGCTTGGTGGTATAGGGCAGCCTAGAGAAAGTCACTGAGCCGGCCTGGCCGCGTTGGGGCGGGGGCGGGGTGGGCGCCGCAGCCATCAGTCCCCGTCCAGCTCTGGGCTGGGTGCGTCCTCGGGCTCCTCCTCGTCGAAGTACCTCTCCTCTTCATCCCGGGCCACTATGTCCAGGTTGTCGAAGTCAGGGTTGTCGTCCACGGTGCTGCAGGGGGAGGGAGCTGTCAGGGGCTGGCTCTGCCTGCACCCCAGCCTCCCCGCTTCTGTGGAGAGGAGCTGGGGCCTGGGGCCCCCTGAAGTGAAAGGCCATATGCTGGCAGCTGAACTTACAGCTGGGTCATGTTGCGTCTCTCAGGGCTTCAAACAAGAGGCAACATTTTCCAAAGGAGAGATTTTACATGAAAACTTCTGGTTTCTCTTAAAAAGCCAGAAGATGTGGTGACACATGGGCCCACATCTGGGCCCTGAGGCAGTGGTTCTCAACCAGGAAGATTCTGCCCACCCCCCAGGAACATCTGTGATAACTGGAGACATTTTGGTGGTTACAAGTTGGGGGCCTGCTACTGGCATCCAGTGGTGGACGTCAGGGATGCTGCTCGACACCTGCCACACACTGGACAACACCTGCCACACACAGGACAAAGGGTTATCCAGCCCCAAAGGTCCACAGTGCTGAAGTTGAGAAACCTTGCCCTCAGGCAACAAGTGATCCTAAGTTGTGAGGAGGATCCCCGGTTGTACTCCAAACCCTACCAGGCTCCCTCACACTGTCTTTGGTGCAGGAAGCCCTGTCCAATCCAGCCCCGCCACCCCCTGATGAGACCACCTACCCCTCACCCCTCGCGCACCGTGCTGTTCCTCTGGGCCCCTCAAGGCTCTTGCACCTGCTGTCCCCCTGCCAGGAACGCTCTT